TTATTTCCCTTAACCAGGAAATTAACATTCTTAGAATTGACAGACAGTTGACCCTGAGAGGTCAAGTAAATACTTACAACGGATCTAAATAGTTATAATTAATTATAACTAGTTATGATTAATTATTCATATTTCCCCTTTGAGCTGATTCGCTACATTGTCTTGTGTGTATTTAATTTTAAAGTCAAAACTCTGCCCAGATCTTAGTTACCTAGCTCTTAGCTTATAAATTATCACTAGCATGTGTTGACCTGTGGCCAGGGATAACACAAATATCCAAATTGTTACGATATACTGATTTTAACATTCGCTGGACGAACAGTTGATAAAGTATAAACTAATCAGATTTGGAATCCGTTAAATCGGGTTGATTTTGAATCTTCAGATGCGATTCCCCCCAAAAACCTGAGTTAAAATAAAATGGTTAATTTTATTACATTGTTAGCTTTTAATATATGGTTTTATCCTGATTAAAGCTTTAACACAGTACAGCAACTGCACGCGCGTCCATGTTTAATGCTTCTCATAGCTATGTGAAAATAAGTGTATAATTGGAACAGTTCATTGAGCGTTTGCAGACCAGGGGACACGAGGAACAGCATTAAGAACCGCTGCTTTTGAACATTGATTTTGAATCTTGTGAATCCATTCGAATCGTTAGAAGACAGAATATTTTTATGTGCACCTCTAGTTTTCTCTTCCTCTTCTCTAAATCAGCGCAGCATGGCCTCGCCCCCTTTGCTGCATGTTCCCGAGGGCAGGGTTTATCTGGGTTTGTGATGTCACGAACCCGGGAAGTAACTCGTTGAAGTCCCTACCAGCCGTTTTTGTAGGCATTAAACTGGCAGAATTTTAAAAGACGATATCTCCGTTTGCATTGAACTTTCAGCTTCGTAACTTTGCAGATATTGTTTATGCTCAAACAGCAACATTACACACTAACTAACATTAAAAAAGTGAAATTGCAATCAACCACCCCTTTAAGACATTGTAAAAAAAATCAAAAATAAAATACTTTGCACAACAGTACAACATGTAAGAAATCACACACACACACACACAGCTGTAGTAATTGTTGTTGTTCTGAATGTCTCTGTTCTTGTGTTCAGATGCCTGTTTTCTCACACTGGATCCAAACACAGCACACACTCAACTCAGACTGTCTGAAGAGAACAGAAAGGTGACACGTGTGAGAGAGAAACAGTCGTATCCTGATCATCCAGACAGATTTGATGAGTGTCGTCAGGTGTTGTGTAGAGAGAGTGTGTGTGGACGCTGTTACTGGGAGATTGAGTGGAGGGGATATGATGTGTATATATCAGTGTCATATAAGAGCATCAGCAGGAAGGGACGGGATAATGAGTGTCGGTTTGGACGTAATGATCAGTCCTGGAGTTTGATCTGCACTCCCTCCAGTTACTCATTCAGACACAACAAGATAGAGACTCTTCTCCCTGTAAAGTCCATCAGCAGGAGAGTAGGAGTGTTTGTGGATCACAGTGCAGGAACTCTGTCCTTCTACAGTGTCTCCAAAAACACAATGATCCACACAGTCCAGACCACATTCACTCAGCTGCTCTATCCTGGGGTTTATGTTAATAATGAATCATCAGTGAAACTGTGTTGATGAATCAGAGAATGACGAAAGATTCTACCCATAATGCTTTGAGCTGCATTATAAATCAGTAACAGTGAGATGTTATAGTCTCTTCATGACATTAATACTGCAGCTCAAATTCTGTCACTGAAATAACAGTCAGAATAAATGTGTCAGAAATCCTCATATAGACAGTAAGATCTGTGTGTGTGTGAGACTGTGTGTGTGAGAGCGAGTGTGTGTGTGTGAGTGTTTACTACATTTATTGTAGTGTCACATCAATCATTTGTATTATTACTATCAAAATGTTCTTTCAATTGAAAAGTTCTTCATGAATCATATTTGTGAAAAGTACGTCATTCATTTTTCTCTATTGTTTTTGTGCATAAATAATAAAACCCGATGAGAAATGAACTTGAGATCAGATCTGAATTGATGTTTGTATCATGAATATAATTGATTCCTCACAAGACTGACATGAGCTTCAGGAGAGTTTCTGACATTATTAAATAAAACAATCATAGCATTGAATAAAATATATTGTAACTACAGAAAAGCTGTATTAAATTATTTTAGTAAATAAAAATAAGTAAATAAAATCACCGCTTGAAAGAGATCCCATAATATGTAAAAATGTGATAAAATATGTATAATCTGCTGATTTGATAATAATAGCAACCACAATATTTTTTAATTATTTGAATTATAACAAATCAATAAAGAAATATGTTATGATTACAATAATACTATTGCACTCTTAAATTAAAAGCATGTATTATTATTAATAATTATTAGTATTATAATAATAAATATGTAATTACATGTTTTATTTGATTTTATACCACAAAAAAACCCTCTTATTGCAATAATTATATTGCACTTAAAAATAAAAAGTCAGTATTTAATAATGAAATTGTTACGTCCTCAACATTACATAGAGACGGAGGCAAGCATAGGCTCGTTTTAACGGGATATTTATTATTGAGTTATGTTAACATTAAGGAGAGAGAATAAATCAATGAAAACTGCTGATCCCTCGGCTGGTTCTCCTCGAGTTGCCAGCAAAAGTCCCACCACTGCTTTCAGCGTCACAACAGTATTTATGCTGCTCAGCTCATCAGGCACACAGATGTTTGAAATCGGCACCTAATGAACGAAGACAAACAAGAAAACTCTCGGCCACTAGGGGGCAGCCGTATCAGTACAAGCCAATACTTGTGAACAAAAATCTAAATTACATGCATATGTAACACCTCCCCCCTTTTTAAGTGAATTTATTGCCTGGGGAAAAATAAATAAATAACACACACATATATACATACATATATATATATATCCCAAAAAAACTAATAAACCAAATATCTTACTTCTATTGGTCAAGCTTTTTATGAGACCAGGTATTTCTCTACCCAGTATACTTCATCCTCTTCACGCACCTCTTCTAAGGCAGCCAACGCAATTGGAGATGTTACATTAGCTTCCATAACGGGAACATCATTCGGCGAGCTTTTAGCAATCGGCTCTCTCGCGTGGTAAGCTTTTAGCATATTAACGTGACAAACTCTGGTGTTTTGACGGCGATCGGGAGTATAAATAACATAATTATGATCTGATACCTTCCTCTTAATTTCATAAGGACCACTATATCGAGCTTGGAGCGATCTCCCAGACACCGGCAACAGGACTAAAACTTTGACAAGAAGGCTAAAGAGAGAAGTTTTGTTGCAGGTGACAAAGCAAGATTTCATTTTACTTTGAGCCTTCTCAAGGTTTTTCTTGGCTAGTTCACGTACCTTGTACAGGCGTGTGCGAAACTTGGTCATATACTCGGGAAAAGAAGTCTGTTTAGCATCACCAAGCCATTTCTCTTTCAATACGGTTAATGGTCCATGTGGCTTATGGCCAAAAACCAGCTCCGCTGGGCTAAATCCCAGCGATTCCTGCACCACTTCACGCGAAGCGAAAAGTAACCATGGTATTCCATCTTCCCAGTCTCGATCAAGCTCAAAGCAATAAGCGCGTATCATCGACTTCAATGTTTGGTGGTAGCTCTCCAGTGCTCCCTAACTCTCAGGATGATAGGCACTGGAAACATTATGTTGGATGTTAAGCTTTTTAAGCAGCCGAGAGAGTCATCATGTAGTTGACACATCCCACAAGGACACTGAGAACACCATGCAGCCACAACAAGCACTGCTCATGGACACCATCACGGCTTAGCCCTGCCCACAGAGCTCATCACAGACAGACTGTGACGTATCAGAACAGCTCCAAGACTCAGCATCCAAGGACAACTTTCTGGAAAACAGCCAGGGAAGCCAGGACAACATATCACAGCCACCGGAAACACATTTTTAAACATTCGCTCACTAAAAAAATAAATCATTTCTAATCAATTACTTAAAATCCAGGTTATTTGTGGTTATTATGTTTCTAAACAAAACATGGCTAGAAGACAGCTGCAGTGCAACAGTCCTCAATGAAACAGCCCCTCCTAACTTTACTTTCATGAGTGTG